GAGGCAGGTTGATTTATTAGTAATAAGTTGTAATCATTTTCATATAAATAATATTTTTATTATTATTTTAGGAAATTGATATTTCCACACCCTTTTATGATATTGCCACACCCTTGATAATATAAATTATTAGAGTTTAGTTAGGGTTTAGAATTTGGCAATATCAAAAAAGGGTGTGGAAATATCAATTCCCTAATTATAATATATAAAAATTAGTAATTTTGAACTAATTTAAGTAAATTTATAAATAGTTAGGGTTTAGATTAAGGTTAGAATTTAAATTAGTTCAAATTAGATAGGTTTTATATAGTATAATTTTGTAATAATCTATATATGCCCACCTATACTAAAGAAGATCCCAGTGAAAATTAAGGCATTAATTTTTGTCTAAAATGTCAATCTGCTTGATTAATATTGACGGCAACCCATATAACGATCAAGATACCTAGTAATTGTCATTTGGGTCATTTAAACACTTTGGGACATTTACCATCACTGATTAGATTCGTCCTATAAAATATTTAGAAATTTAAACCTAAATTTAAATTTTAAAGCTTATTTGTTTACTTAAAATTACTCACGACAAACTTCTGAACTTATGATTACAATTGTACATATTAATAAATAATTCATCATCTCAAAGCTTCTAGAGAAACTCTTGCACCTACTTCACTTAACTTTGGAAATAATTCATCATTCTCACCAATTACATACGTAAGTGTACACCGTTGATAATAATCACCGGCAAATGTTTCGATATTGTCAATTATATCATCTAATAAATAAGCCTTGGCGATTGAAATGCCCTCAGCAATGGTATCATGACGAATATGGGTAACATGAACATGGAAATGATCTATAATAAAAGATAAAAGTTGTTATAAAATAGATAATTGTTTACACATGAAAACTTAAGAACTTACAATAGGAAGGTAAATAATGTACAAATAGTCGTAGCTCATCAGCTCCGACACCAGGAAATCGTTGTGGCACAATTTCAAGTATATTATTTTTCAAGTTTTTTAACAACGGTAAATGGGATTCATTCAAATCTCTTAAGGATCTAATATCATTTTTATGTACTATTGCTACAAGATACAAGTTTCCTAATGTTTTTCTATCCCACTTCCTATTTATAAATTTATAATTAGAATTAGACAAAGTTCAGCTTAAATCCGGAGCAGCTATTTATAAAGTGCTTACATATCCGGAAGTAAGATAAACCCTTTTTCTTCATCATCAACTTCGAAAATAATCTTTTCAACTTCACTTTTTTTTTGTAAAATATTATAAACCCATTGAATTCTGCTCGCAGGAACTGACTTGATAAACGGTTTCACAAACATCTCGTAAATTTGCGGAGTTTCACGAATCAAGTAACGTTGCTGGAGACTATACTTTCTAATATGCTTTTTTGGTTTATAAAAAAAGTAGAAATGGATTTAATTAGGAAATAATTTACTTCAATAATTTTGGAAAAACCTTATAAAACCTACAGTTTCAGTAGCAGGCCAAATCAAAGTGATTTTAAAATCTGGCCATTTTTTATCTTTATGAAAGATCCCCCTGTACCAATGGTAAATATCATTTTTATCTAACTCAGTCAATTGATCAATCCGTTGAGCTGTCAAGATTTCATGTTCACAATTTTCAAAATGAAGCTTTTCAAATATAAGGATCGCTTGATGGGATTCGTTAATTTTGGAAGTACGAATAGTACCAAGAAGTGTTATGGATTTTGTACGAGGATCTTTTAATTTTATGGGGCTTAGCA